TTTTGTTATCCGCATGCAAACATCTTCGCAAAGAGAGGGTTGCAATTCTCATGTCCAGAGACGCTGTGGGGTGCAGGAGATACCTGAAAGCCAACCCACTGCTGGTAGTGTTGAATTCGAGAACTGAGCACCGTGCCATAGAAGAACACCTCGGAAATATACTTCCACATAGGGTTCTAAAGACTATAAATCTGATCGGAGAATGTTCAACTAACGAACTTGGAACAAAAAACTTCCGCAATGCCTGATCACTATCCGTTTCGACATGGCACTTCCGCTCCACATGAAGGACATACGACCTCGCTGATTTGCCTCCACCGGAAAGGCGATTCAGTGAAAGGCGGCCCATCAGCGTCAAACCATGTGAAACCTCTTTGTTATCTTTTGAAAACAACCTTGAGGGTGGTGCAAGAATATGTGGAGCCATCTCACTAAGCGCTCAAGGAACATGTTGTCAAGATGTGTGGAGGTATATAAGACGTGTCACCATCAAACAGGAGGCAACAACGACCAACACTCGGAAGGATGCAGCAAGATGGATTGGAAGTGAACATGGATTGATTTTTTTCCTATCCAGCTTTGTTAAGATCTGAGCCCTGAAAATTGAAAGAGACGCCCAGGCTGCTTCCGGAAGAGCCCGGTGTCTCTGGCGCGCAACGCCGGAGTTTGCCTCCAGTTCTCGCTCCACGATCCCGATCGCCAAGCCCACAACCCTTTAGCGGAGAGGCTGCAGTACCAGGCATACCTGAGGTGCCATGGAAAAAAAACGTGGAGAGAGATGCTACCATGGATTCCATTTCTTGTGCATTCTTGTGCTGTGATTCTGTTTTGTTTCTTGTCACTATTCTGACTATTCTTTTTGAGTCTTCACACCTTCGTCCTAGCATTCCTTGAAGCATCAGGATTCATCCCCCTCCAGGAGTTCCAAGGCAAGGCTTGTGATTCCATGTTATTCCTGCATTGTGGTGGAACCTTTCTTTGGGAGTCAGGGTCCAAGTTTCAGAGAACAATTGTCGAAGGAAATTTAGAAGTCAAACTGCCGACAACATGGACAGATGAAAAGCAGAGGTGGAGCAGAAAAATAGAGAAGAGAAGAGCAGAAGAGAGAAGATCAAAGAAGAGAAAGTCTCAGAAGAAAGAAGATCTAGGTGCCCGAAAAGGTAGGAAAGTCGCGAAACACTGTGTTTTGCCGATGATTTGTGGCTCCAGAGGGTCGAAAAGTAGGCTCGCTAAAGCGGCGGGCGCGGAGCCAGCTGGCCAGATGAGAGATGAAAAATTGCACGCCGTTGTGGCGCGAAGCACATTTCGAAGTCAAAGTGCGCAAAACACACCATGTCCAGACCACTTTTGGCAGTTGAGATGTCGAAAGAGTGCACGCCGTTGTGGCGCGAAGCACATTTGCAAGTGAAAAAGCTAAAAGCACTTCACGTTCGGACCAGTTTTGGAAGTTGAGAGGTCGAAAAAGTGCACGCCGTTGTGGCACGAAGCACATTTCGAAGTCAAAATGTACAAAGCACCTCCCCCCGGACCACTTTTGGCAGTTGAGATGTCGAAAAAGTGCACGCCGTTGTGGCGCGAAACACATTTCCAAGTCAAAATGTACAAAACACCTCAGCTCCGGAGCACTTTTGGAAGTTGAGATGTCGAAAAAGTGCACGCCGTTGTGGCACGAAGCACACTTCGAAGTTAAAATGCGAAAAACACCAGGGTTCGGACCACTTTTGGACGTTCAGATGTCGTTTCGCGTGGCAGGCGCAGGGGATTGTGGACCTTGTCAAAAGTGGGCAAAACGTGGGGGGTTTTGTGGCATTTCCAAAAACGATGGCAGGCGTGGGACATTTGAAGAGGATCTGCAAAGATGCATTTTCCGTGGCAGGCGCAATACAAGAGACATGTCCATCAGAGCTGTTTGGAGGTCCGGGCGCTGATTTCCTGAGACGGGTTGCATTTTGGAGCATCAGATAGATAGATTAGATTAGATTAGATTAGATTAGATTAGATTAGATTAGATTAGATTAGATTAGATTGATAGACAGAGAGATTGATAGACAGATAGATTGATAGATAGATAGATTGATTGATAGATAGATAGAGAGAAAGATAGAGAGATAGATAGAGAGATAGATAGAGAGATAGATAGAGAGAAATATAGAGAGATAGATAGAGAGATAGATAGAGAGATAGATAGAGAGATGGATAGAGAGATAGAAAGAGAGATAGAAAGAGAGATGGATAGAGAGATAGATAGATAGATAGATAGATAGAAAGAGAGAGAGAGAGAGATAGATAGATAGATAGATAGATAGATAGATAGATAGAGAGATAGATAGATAGAGAGATAGATAGAGAGATAGATAGAGAGATAGATAGATGGATGGATGGTTGGATAGATAGATTGATTAGATAGATAGATAAATTAGATTAGATTAGATTAGATTGGATTAGATTAGACTAGATTGGATTAGATTAGACTAGATTAGATTAGATTAGATAGATTAGATAGATTAGATAGATAGATAGATACATAGATAGATCGGTCGGTAGGTAGATAGATAGATAGATAGATAAATAGATAGATTCATAGAGAGATAGATAGAGAGATAGACAGAGAGAAAGATAGAGAGATAGACAGAGAGATAGATAGAGAAATAGATAGAGAGATAGATAGAGAGGTAGATAGATAGGTAGATAGAGAGATAGATAGAGAGATAGATAGAGAGATAGATAGAGAGATGGGCATATAGGTAGATAGATAGATAGATAGATAGAGAGATAGATAGATAGAGAGATAGATAGAGAGATAGATAGAGAGATAGATAGATGGATGGATGGTTAGATAGATAGATTGATTAGATAGATAGATAAATTAGATTAGATTAGATTAGATTAGTTTGGATTAGATTAGACTAGATTACATTAGATTAGATAGATAGATAGACAGAGAGATAGATAGATAGATAGATAGATAGATAGATAGAGAGAAAGATAGAGAGATAGATAGAGAAATAGATAGAGAGATAGATAGAGAGAAAGATAGAGAGATATACAGAGAGATAGATAGAGAAATAGATAGAGAGATAGATAGAGAGGTAGATAGATAGGTAGATAGAGAGATAGATAGAGAGATAGATAGAGAGATAGATAGAGAGATGGGTATATAGGTAGATAGATAGATAGATAGATGGATGATAGATAGATAGATAGATTAGATAGATTAGATAGATTAGATAGATTAGATAGATTAGATAGATTAGATAGATTAGATAGAAAGATAGATAGATAGATTAGATTAGATTAGATTAGATTAGATTAGATTAGATTAGATAGATAGATAGACAGAGAGATAGATAGAGCGATAGATAGAGAGAAAGATAGAGAGATCGATAGAGAAATAGATAGAGAGATAGATAGAGAGAAAGATAGAGAGATAGATAGAGAGATAGATAGAGAGATAGATAGAGAGATGGATAGAGAGATAGAAAGAGAGATAGAAAGAGAGATGGATAGAGAGATAGATAGATAGATAGATTGATAGATAGATAGATAGATAGATAGATAGAGAGAAAGATAGAGAGATAGAGAGAGAGATAGAGAGAGAGAGATAGATAGATAGAGAGATAGATAGAGAGATAGATAGAGAGATAGATAGAGAGATAGATAGATAGAGAGAGAGAGAGAGATGGATAGATAGATAGATAGATAGATAGGTAGATAGATAGAGAGATAGAGAGATAGATAGATAGATAGATAGATAGATAGATAGATAGATAGATATATAGGTAGATAGATAGATAGATAGATAAATAGATAGATAGATAGATAGCTAGGTAGGTAGATAGATAGATAGATAGGTAGATAGATAGATAGATAGATACATAGATAGATCGGTCGGTAGGTAGGTAGGTAGGTAGATAGTTGGAGAAAGAGAGAAAGACGGAGAGAGAAACAGAGGAGACCTCAACCATCTGTCGGTCCATCAGTGGCTTCGCTTTGCCATCCGTGATTCGCAACAACCAACCTCTCCTATAGGTTTTCTATTTTTGAAACTTCCGCCACCGCCTTGTGCGGTAGTACTGGTAAACAAATGTAAACTGACGTAAGCAATCAGCATCGGGTATGTTGTTGAGTTTGTTTACAAGATGCAGAACAGCTGTTTGCATTTTGGAACTGTGGTCAGGGCAAGAAAAAGAAAAAGAAAAAAAGGCACGTGGAAACGAGGGTGCACCCAGGCATGTTTGGCAACCTTCGGCAATGTCTGGCGGCTCTTTTCCATCTTCCGAGCATCGTGCTTCATCCTGCTTTGATTCGACTTTGATGCTTTCTGATATGTTTCACTCGCTACGTGCATTTTGGTTCCCGCAAATTTTGCGCCAGTCTCCAGCTCTGGGGGGTTTGAGGAGGACATTGCCCAGAGGGTTTTGCATCAGTAGACTGTTGGCATTGAAGAAACGTCATGTGAGACAGCCGCAAAATATAGGTTTCAAACTTCAACCCAGTGCTTTTCTCTTTTGGTGGTTGCAACATGTTGCAACTTTCCGATTCGGCCTTACAAGCGTCACAAGCGTGGTTCTCTTGAATATACCATTTTCATCCATTTTCCTTTTGATGTAAAAAGGCCTGCTGCTGCTCAGGTTTCTTGAGCTTTAGATTCAGATTTACAAACACAAACAGGAGGGCGCTGATTCCTTGCCTTCCAGCCCGGTCGCTTGTGCTGAATAATGCTGAATATAGGCTGTTGGTTTTTGGCTTCCCATACCCACAGACGCCATCAGACGCCCACACTATGGGGGCAATGTACGGCAATGTGGCAACTGCTGCTCCGTTGCGTTATCAAACATGGAAGGCTGTGAGGGTTGGCGCTTTAGGACGTGAACTTCAGAGGGGTTTCTTCGACATACGCCATCATGTTCCTAAAGCCTAGCTCTAAAGTCAAAAGATGAAATCAAGTTGGACCTTCTCCAACCTTGGCATTGGTTCCAACCAAGGCCTCCATACCGTCCATGTCGGCACCGTCGCGGCGCCCCCTATGCAAATTTGGTGCAGACTGCTACCGAAAGAATCCAGATCACAAGAGGCAGCAACTCAGCTCTCAGCACTTGATCGACTTAGCATCGCTTCATTTATTGTAGAATGAATATTAACTAATGAATTTTATAAATATATGTAATTAGTTTAATTATATTGATACAGAATATAATGATGCATAATTTTTAATGATACACAGATATAGGTCAAAACCGCTCAGAAGAAAAACGCCTCTGTCCTCTAACCCCACACCGGGCGGTTTTTCCCCAATGAGGCTTGATGATTTGCGCCTCAGAATTGCCTCATCGGTTCTTGAAGGTGGTTTTTCTTGCCCCAGTTTGATTTTAGACATTGCGATTGACAAAACATAAATCGTTCGCTTGCTTGATGTCATCGTATGCAGAATTTAGAGCCGCAACCGGAGTCTTACTTGGGATACAGTTTGCAGCGCTGCAGCGCTGTATCCTAAAATGCGTCGAACATGTCCAACACGTTGGACTTGGAACGGTGTGTTCTGGATACTTTTGGACCTCAGGTTTTGCCATCCCGGCGACCCAGATCATCCGGACACACCAGCGGAAGCAAGAGAAGCTGTCCCTGAAGAAGAAGGCAGGGACTGGTTCCCAGTGTTTCGAACGGCATTTCTCAGGAATCAAGGCGCATTCAGAATTTCTCTGGTTTAATGCATTTCACATTCATTTTGATTTCAGTGATATGTCGAAATGAGGCGGCAGGCACAGCTGATAAAGATGCAGAACATTTTTGGGTAAAGGCGGTTTGCAACAATTTCCTTTCCTCGACGCAAAACTTATGACGTTAATCGGTCAATCAGGAACGAACTGGATTGCGCTCAGGGAAGGGTAAGGTTGTTGCTACGGAGTGGAGCAAGCAACTGAACCTGCATGCCTTGAAGACCCTTGTAGGAATTGCAGAGACTCCAGTAACGCCCCTTCGAAGTGTATCCGGTATTGGTGCTCACAAAAGCTTTGCAGACCCAGGAGCTTTTTGGTTTGACTGAGGATTCTGCAATTTTCATTTTCTCAGCTGCTCAATCTTCTTGAAAACTAAAGGGGCGCCACCGTAAATATGTAATCAGTGACACCTATTTGATTTTAGGATAATAAACTATAATACCTATAATAACGTGAGGGCCAGCGCTCTACATTGTTCCATTTTCTGTCTTGGAAAACACCCAGAATGGAGACACAGGAATATGTGTTCGAAATTTCAGCTCTGAAGGCACTTTGGCAGTGGCGCAAAGCCTTCTGAAAAAGCTGTACTAGAACCCATCAGGTGTTCCAAAATCGGAAGAGCTGCTGAACTGGTTGTGTACATTGGAGCAGCGGGTGTCAGAAACGGGTGGCATATACCAAACTGAAGCACTCGACTCACATCATGCTCTGAGACTTTGCGGGATTGCTTTGCAGGAGAGACCACGGAAGATGCGGAAGTAAAAACTGTCAAATGGTCTTCGAAGTTTGAAGAATTCGGCCCTAGCACCGGAAGACTCTTTGTTGCATGCTGCGAAGTGCAGCAGGGTTGCACCCATGATACAGGCCTTCGATACAAATGGCTGGCAAATAAAGAGTCTCATCTTTAGGGCCTGGAACTGCAAGTCTTTCAGCTGCCGGCCAGCTTGATTATTGTTTGAAGATTAAGTCTTGAGATATCAGGTTGACATGTGTTCACAATGGAGGTCAAGAAAATGCAAAGATTTCAAAGGGGTCGAAACACAAATGGATGAAACTTTCCTTTTGTGCGATGTCCCAGGCGGGAGAAGGCCCAAGTCCGCTGTGGATTTCGACGAAGGCTGCGCAAAGAAACTATCGACAACGTACAATTTCACACAACTAGCAGGAGAATGCCCTATTCACTAGTCAGGCTTAATCAGGCTTGGGTCCTTTTGGGCAACCTCAACCACCTCAACCTTCTCGAATCTTTGAATTCGGAACAAGACACGTGCGCTCGAGTCGCTGCAGCGATATTTTTTGGCATTTTCCAGGTGTGGAAGATGCAGAGGTCCTCGAGGCGCCTGCTTTCTGGAACCAAATCCTCGAACAGTACCGAACAGCAATGTATGACATTATGGTAAGGTGGATTAAACAGGATTAAAACATGGTTCAAACTAAAACTTACAACTGTCCAACGGCATAAAATTTAGTTTCGGGGGTTTGCAAGCTGCGCGGGAAGAAGGCGTTGGAAGGAAAATGGAGGGAGACGATGGAAAATTCAGGTGCAAGATGTAGAATGTATAGCATGAACATGCACAACGCACGGGCTCTCCCGCTGTCTCTGTATGGTTTTTTTTCCTGCTCTGGAAGTCTATATATTGTAGGTCTCAAATGCAGAAATCACCAGGTGAGGGCATCAATAAAGTCAAGAACTTCACGAATTCTCAACATCAGAGTCTCAGGCGGAATGCATCGGAAAGTGTTGCAAAGGCCTTGGCGGTGACTCCAGTAGCCCGAAGTGCCACACGAACGGCGTGCAGATATGGCGAGGCATGCTGGGACACGAGGCCAGACCATAGAGCCAGGTCCCTTTGCACACATTAATCATCATTGGGATTCATTGAGTGCATGCTACGGACGTGTTGTATCATCCTGTGTATCATATATTGTAAGGATAACAGTTCTGGGTCAAGCCTTGGAAGCATTATATTATATTATGGATAATTTATATAATATATATGTATATATATAAGAAAAAACATTGAAAGCTGATGTTGGCAATTCTTGGCAGCAAATTTCAGATTCATGGGGCTTGGCTGGAGAAGCATAGCAGTTGGCAGTTGTTCAGAGGTACCCTGGCAGCTGGTCTGAAACTGGGGTGACATTATCCTGGGAATTCCTGGTATATTCAGCAATGACATTGCGTGGCTTTCGGCATGTTTTTGCTTGATGCTGAACTTCTTGAAAAGGCACACCTAAATCAAATGGGATTGAATAGGTTAATCAAGCAAGGACTGGTGGTTTCAGCTAAGTCCTTGTATGTCCTTGTAATCAGTTTGACAAGGCTTATGAGCTACGTGCTCGCATGGGGCATTTTCTTGTGAATGTCTAGGAGACATACCAAGAGCTACCTATCATTTATTGGAAACGCTGTCGCAACGGTGTGCTCTTAGCATTTGCTCCAAGGTTTGCTCATCCGGGCGATCCAGACCATCCATCCACTGTTTCTGCAGGCTCTGCCCGTGGATGTTGAAGCTTCCAACATGCAAAGACCAGTGAATGGCCAGGAAGCAACTTAGGGTTGCCTAGTTTTAGAGTATTAGTGTTGCGAACGAGCATGCGCATTCTTATCCCATTGTGGGTCCACATGGGCTAAGAAGGTCATTCTGGTACATGGTGGTCACTATTTGCTTGGCCACTTCAAAATTCAAATCTCATGTGTTTCTTCCCTGCAATCCTCTCACAGTTCTTGGTGGTCAATATTCATATGTTCGTTTGCTACTGAAATTGATTATGTAGATTGAGAGACAACAAAGCTGCTCCGCACCAGGCGCATCTTCATCAGTTGCTCGAACATCTTTGAGAGATCATGGCCACACTGACCAAATTTATATTTTTTCTATCAGAAAGAAAGTTTGAAGTTTGAAGGATGCAAGGTCTACATATGGGGAAATCAGCAAAGCACGGAGATCCATTTTCACCTCGCCGAGACAGCCGGTAGAGCTTTGCATCAGCACTATGCACTACTCACAGCCAACCGTGATCCAGGATTTTAAATAAATAAATAGATGCTGTAAATATAAACGCACATATAAATAAGCAATATAAATAAACGTATAAAGTATGTGTATATATATATATATTATGATCATTCTAGATCATCCCGATATATCTCGACAAATCTTGGAAAGCTAAAACAAGCCAAGTCTTGCCAGCCAGGGCTTTCAACATCGGGAAGAGAGGACGTGATGGAAGGCATCATTTCGAGGGTGGTTGAGCTATGTTGAGCTAGCTTTCAACGCATTCTGTTTTTGCATCAGCTACGTTTGGGTCAGTCCTTTTGCTTGTGCCACCAACCCTGGTGTTTCTTCACAGTTTTTGGACTGATGTTGATGATGTTGATGTTGTTTCCCCCCCGCACCCTTTTTTTCCGCGGCGAGGTACTGATGTTGACTGGAACACGATGGAAGTGCGGTCAGATTCAAAGCCTGGAGAGAACATTGGCGAAAGATGCTTGGCACCCAATGATGCAAAAGGGTGTGAAAGATTGTGAAACCCAAAGAAACCCAAATCCAAAAGAATCAGAAGAAACACTGGCAGAAAGGCACTGAAATCTAAGACTCTAGGATTGTTCCAAAGCCAAAGCTCCCCTGCAATGCCAGGTGGCCTGTCACCGCTCAGAGGTCCAGAGGCGGATGTTCGGTTTCATGCATGACAGGGCGAGCATAGGGGACTTGAGAGGCTACTTTTTTACTTTGTATGTTTCTCTCATTTTTTTCCCTTCTGGCATTCGCACAACACAGCCAAATCTATCTATATAAATCTTTCCTTTGACACAGCACGTCTACCCGGTCTACCCATGGCCATTCTATGATCCCAGGGTGATTTCATAATGTTTCATATGGTTTCATTGGCAGTTCTATCCAAAACATGGTTTGTCTTGGCTCCGCACGCTGCCATAGCAGGCGCGACCTATTGAGGACTCTTGGCAAGGATTTGATGCTGCGCAGACCTCATTTCGCTGAAATTTGCCCTGGTCTTTCTTGCATGCAATTAGCCGTAATATTGATATTTGTTAATATTCAAGGTCACTAGACAACCAGATAGAAACCATGCGTTGCTGCACCTGCTTAAGCAAATGTTCCATCATTAAAAAAAAACTCCAGCACCACATGCCATGGCACTTCTCCGATTAGCTCTTCCTTCCAGTTCTTCCTCAAAATGATTTGGAACATTTGTGCAAAAGCAAAGTTGATCTCAAGATATCTCAAGATGGCACATTCAGGCTGGATGTTGCCCTGGTAGGGAAAGGCATGGCAGTGCTGCAGTTGGTATTTGAAGCACGCCTTGTTGGTAGAATCCAGCTTCGTTCAGTTTCTTACTTGCCATGCCAGCTATAGCCTACATTGTGAAATTATAGCCTGTGATAGCTTGCGTCTCTTCATGGGATGATGCCTTGGGGCTGATTTATGGTTTTACGGATTGTTGCCCAACCTGTGATCGATGATGCCAAATTGAGTTCATCAGCATCAATAGTGACTCACCCTTGCAAAAAAGATAATGAAACATGACTAGCTCCTGATATTTTCATATGTTTTCCTTCCACTCTCCCTAACCTGTTGGAGTCTTGTACGGGAGAGTAAGTGTGTGGCGCTGCTGAGTCTCCATTCCCTCTGGCGGCTGAAGATCCCAATGAGGAAACAGAGGAGGATGAGGCAGAGGATGCAGAGGACTGGGGTGCCGAAAAAGCAATGTGGTTCAACAAGTTCTAGCCAGAGAAGTAGTTCAGCTAAGTATCATCATGCTTAGTTTAACAAGGTTAAATAAGTTTAATCTCAGTTTGGGTTTTCATGGATGTAATGCCACTCTGAATCAGCTCATTTCTTTTGTTGCCTGACCGCTAGATGTTCGCTTCAGTCATGGCATCACTTGAGCCTTCTTTCACTGCCTCTTCTCGATGTGCTCTCGCCTCAGGAGGCAGCAGAAATCGACTTTCCAGTCAAGGAGTGGCAAAGGGCACCTCAAGATACCTCAAGGGAAAGTGGAATGCAGTTCGGGAAATCCGACTGCCCAGAAGACACGACTGAGACCATTGATTTGCATTCGTTTTTCCATCTCTCTTTCTCTCTCTATGTGTACTGTTTAATAACCTGGTCCTTCCATTGCTACTTACATTTTAGGTACGAAAAAAATCAGGTACGAACTCAGATTTCCAGCACGTTTTGAAAAAGACTTTCGTTTGTGAAAAAAGAGGAAGAGACTGGGCCCTGAGCTATGGTACAGCGTTGTTTGGCAACTCTGGGGTAACCTAGCTGATATAACCCAGGGACTGTCGTGTTGGTCCTTGATCTAAAAAAAATGGCACCAGGAGTTGGTGCAAGTGAATCCTGGGTACCGATTAGTACCTGAAATGGAATTTGCGCGCTTTTGCGCTTTTTTGTGCGTTTTTGTGCGTTTTTGTGCGTTTTTGCGCGCATCTCCCAAAGTGGGTTCAAGGGACCGACTTGGACCTATCGGAGTGATGGGGGCCTGCGACACAATTCACACTTGACCAATCCAAACCAATTTGAGCATGTGGCGTTTAAATCCAAATCGCAACCCAGTCGCTGTGTAAAATCAAAAAAACACTCGAAACCACCAAAAACAAACGATGCAAAAATAAAAGGTACGAACAGAGATTTAAGGTACGAACCAAGAATTCAGGTACGAACAGGGGGAGGGGCAGAAATAAAAGGTACGATGGATGGTTCAGGAATGTGTATTGATATTATATTGATATGATTTGATATGTTATAGCGATTATAGCGATTATAAAATATATAACAGAATTGATCATACACTGTGGCACTGTGGCATCACGGGTTTCAAGTTGGTACGTGGTTCGTGATGGTTGATTTTTTGAACTATCAATTTATCAATATCAGATTCAATTCCTGACCGCAGTTCCCTCCCTGGCACAGGCTAGAAAAAGAAGTGGGCCTAGCGGGAAAACATGTGGTTTGCTTCTATGTTGCGCTACTCTCCTTCCTGGCATCGTGCCCAAGCTAAAAATGCTGCCAACGCCAAGGCTGAGATGACCGGAATTTTTGCCATCATCTCACTTCCTCAATGCTGGAAGTTCATGGAAGTTCAAAGTGATGGATATTTGTGTCAGCTTTGTGTCAGCTTGCGATGTCGCTTTAAGGCGACTTTTCTTGCGATCACGTTCGACAACATGGTGCACCTCAGGGAAGATCAACAGCTTGTGGAACCGACTTGGGACGGTGAGCGCGTTACGATCCTCGCCGGACAACCTTTTGAAAATTCCGGGATGTCTCAGGATGCTCAAGTATACTCTGCATATGGTGTCTTTCCACTTTTTTGTTCTCAAAGCTACTCTCCGTTTCGGGTGACATAGCTGCTGCTTGAATACATGCATTTGGACGAGCAAAGCTTCAATATTCGTTGTAACTTCATGCTGCATCTTTTTGCATACTCAATCCATCTCAATCCGCTATAATTTTCCGACAAATATATATCCGTCTGCCTGTTGTGCAGCCCGCCGCCGCCACAAAGTGAAGACACAGTCAGGATTGACATGGTAGGAATATGCAGGAATAGCATGAATAGCAGGAATACCTAAGTGTAAAACCCTTAGACCTTGGTGGCCAAGGCCCTTAAAAATCTTATAGAATCTTAAAATCTAGCCGGAATAGAAGGAGCGAAGGAGCGTACTTCTGAGAGAAAAATATGCAAATACTCGACAGGTAAAGTAAAGAGTTGTTTTTTCATTTTTTTCCCTTGCAGGGTGACCATGCATTCTTCCGTCTACAGGGCCCTTGAGAACGCATCCGCAAATACATCAATATCATCAATTGACAATGGCCATTATGCTGAAAGACGCTGGGGATAACGTTGGTTATGCATGGTTATGCACAATTGGGATCAATTGGGCTAATTACTCTCATGCTTCACCGGCTTCACCCCTAGGAATGGACCTGGTACAGTGATCAGCTGGCCGCATGCCCGCAGAGATGAATTTGAGCCTCAGCCAGACAGGAGGGAAACAGGAGTGGAAGTATTAGGCAGGGCCAGTTGACATCATGCGGGATTAATGGAGTCCTGCTTATTTGCACACCATGGATGGCTGCAAAAGAACAAAACGGACAACAGTTCTGATACTTTTAGAATGTCCATAGTTTCATAGTAATTAATCACTTGCGGGGTTCCTCAGAGCCCGTGCGCACTTGGGGCTGGACGCTAGTAAGAGTGCAGAATAGTGCAGACCTGTGGACAATTATACAGATGCAAGCGGCGCGTGTGAAAGTGAAGAGGCAACATGGCATGTAAATAAGGAGCTTTGTGGAGTGGAGAGAAACCTTTCCTGGAACATCCCAGGACGCCAAGCAACCCTTTGTCCTAGGTAGTCCGCAAAGCAGACCGGCTTTCGGCCTTGCACTTTGCAGTTTGGAGACTTAGTGCTGTATAGTTTCGCTGACGCTCCCTTCCTGCATGCTACTGTAGTGTGGCAAAGAACAGTGATGGGCAAGCAGAGAGAAATATCATGTGTCATGCATTACACATTGCAGTGTGGAAAGCTGTGCAGGTTGGCATTTTTGAGCTGGCATTTTGACTCATTTTGCATTTCTGTGCCTGACATTTGGCAAATTTGACCCCTGGCGTATTTGTCATTCTTCGCCAATCAACCGAACCTAGGTGGTGAAGCATCGACGGACCCAAGTAGTTCGCCATCAGAAAGGGCCTGGTCTTCTGTTTCTTCGTGCGCTGGAGGAGCCCAAATAAATCTTGCAGAAATTGAACATATACAGCGAACGTGTTCTCGACATTGAGGGAGGCCACCCCCGTGCGGGACACACTGATTGTGGCACAAACATGATCCTGAGACAAGGTGTGAAGAGCAACAGCAAAGGTAATATCATGTAATATCTTGTCGTCGCCGGCAAGATTGCAGACATAGTGCAGATATAACTTGAAGAACTCCAACAGGCATCGAGAACAAGACCACCAAAAACGAAACACGAAGACTTAAGGGAAAGCACTTGTGAAAGTGAGAAACATCAGATGAAAACGAACACCACAAGAAACCCGCAACTTGTACATCTACTCAAACCATTGTGTCCATCGCTTCAGGACTTGGTGGAAATATTGCCTTTGATGCTTGCTTCAATTTAGGCAGACCTCCAAAAGCACCACCGAAGCACATCTACAGAGTGCCTCCAGCATTGCAGATTGGGCTGTGATGACGTGTTGACTCCCTGCCCCAAACCCGGGAGACCCTGTGAACATATTGGAGTCCGTCGACACAAAGGATTGGGGCTTAGCGTGACGTGAAATGTTTTAAAAGTATTTAAAAGTTAGTTTTTTGAACCCATGGTCCCGTGGTTATTGCAAAGTGGGGCAGTTTGGCTGGGGATGTTTGATTGGCAGAAAGGCTAGACATGTGAGCGGGCCATAGGCTGCAATGAAATCGCTAATGACCACTTGGCAGTGGCAGAAGCACGGACAAAGAAAAAAGAAAATGGCACTGATCAGCTGCAAATCTCAACTGCCGTGAAGTACTGTAAAGAGAAGTAAAGCCAGATGGGCCTTGAATGTCACAAAAAATCTGAAGCAGAGCATGAAATTTTGCAGGAGTAACTTGGACTGGAAACCTGCTGGTGCCTGCTGTTGGAGGATGTGACTAGTGACTAGTAGTTTGATTACGACGCCGGTTTTCTGCCTCCACAGTTGCCGAGGAAAAAACTGCAGAAACATGGCAGCAAGAGTATATAATATAGAAGTTTTACTACCCCAAATTTGGAGAAACCAGTCTCAATGCATACGTAAGCAATTCACATCAGCCTACAGAAACATAGGATACTACAAAGAACTTTTTTGAATCTTGATTTTCGAGTTTTATGCTTGGTCGGAGGTGAGGGCAAGCTTATTGAGTCTCGGTCAGTAGATGGCCATATGGCCAGCTGCTGAATTCATTCAGCAGCCTAGGTTGACCCAGTACCATCGGCTAGTGGATGAGCTTACTGGCGACGAGCGAATTGTCAGGGGCCCTCAGGCTTATGCCCCGGAACCTTTGGAAAGCATTGTGCCTTGGCAAAGACTCCATGTATGCAGACGTGTAGCCCATCATATTCAAATATATATTCAAGCTAGATCAAGCTAGCTTCAAATTGTTCTGTAGTTCCAGTAATTGTCCTTGTGACGAGCTGGTGAAGGGATGAGACTGCGCTTGGAGTGGCTGCAACTTGCTGCAATGTGCAGCTGCAATGTGCAGGTGCAGCCAGATTGCTGGCTTCGGTACGACGTCTATTTTGAGGGAAAGGGCACCCTAGCTGCATACCGGGTTCCATCGGGTTCCGGTATGGTGAAGGCACTGTTGATTTCTCTTTTTCAGACTGGATACCCTGCACCGCCCAGTCCAGTCATGGGCTATGAGGGAACCTGGCTAACACCCATTCCCATGAATCTATTCAGTCCCATGAGTCCGTGTACCATTTTTCACCGCAGGACTGGTAATACACGGACTGTCAATCTGTGTATTTTTCTTCTGTCAAAGCATGTCAAAGCCAAGGACTTGGACAAGACCTCCAAGCGACAACCATCGAAAACAGCAAGCTAAAGTGCTCCAGCACCTTTACTGCAATGTGCCAAAATGGTAACAAGCCATCCCTTTACATTGTCAACATGCTCGATTGAATCTGTCCTTGCAACCAATCTATGTTTGCTTGGCACTTTACAGTTCGAGCTGCCTGGGCGGACGTCTATATTCAATGTACGTATGTATAGTAAAAAAGAACAGTTTATTTTTCCATGATTTTCCGATTTATAGTATATGATGTATATGTCATTAGCTAGTGCCATGGGCGTGAGTGCGTCTCATACAAAAAAGATCAGAAACGATTCATAACTTCACCATACTTCACCATACTTCACCCATGCCATCCCATGCCCCCTCCTGTCCCACTCATTGCACTGATCTACTCCGTGGATCAATCCGCCCAGGCATGGAATCCTGCAGCGCTTTTAGCTTCTGCAATATAAATGGACAGAAGAGACTTGAAAAAACTCGAAAAAAAACAAATGCAACATATATAACTTATCTAACACATGGAAGCAACATGAAGCAACATGGTTCAAACTGATCAAACGACTCTTGGAGGGGTATGTTTGGCCATTGACATCCATGCGTAAAGTCTAAGCCCATAGAGGTTCCATATACTCTAAATCTATACATCCTTTAATTATTAGCAACTCTGGACAGAAGATGAAGAGATTACTTCGAACTCCTCATGACTCTGGCGTTTGACAAGTGTCACTGTCCCCTAACAGGCTGACCAAACAATGTTGCTGCTGTAAATCACATTCAAACATGTTCAATATATGTTCAATATCAATATCACTCGACCACCATCGATTTTTCCCGTTCAGCCCAGGATCTGCTACTACTATAGCCGCGAGCCACGGACCGAACAAGATGCATCTGACGCATCTGACACTAACAACTCTTTCGATCCCTCTCGATGCTCGACATATGGCAGAGTGGCCTGTGCCGAGGTCGGATGACTCTGCGGTTTCAATTCTACCGATACAGTATCCAGTGAACATGTCATTTGGGATTTGTTTGCTGCAGCGTAGTTGCCACTTCCCTTGTCTATCCTTGTCTGGATTGCGATCTAGGTTTTAGTTCAGCACCGATTCTAACATATTCTAAAGATGTATGATGATTTTCAGAAGGTTGCACGACATGACATGTGTAATGTCAAGTCAGGATTAATCAACAGCCCGTTATTAATCAACCTCCTCCTCCCCCCCAAAAAATGCAATTAAAAAACAGGTGGTCCCCCAGTATTAATAAACACCCCCGATTAAAACACCTCCAGTGCTGAAATCCATTTTTTATCCAACAATTTTTATTTCCAATTCTATTTATTTCCATTTATTTTTTACATTTTTTTTATCATCATTGTTATACTTAAGGTTTATGTTGATCATTGAAAATTTCAAAAAACAACTATTCCCCAAATGATCGATTTTTAATTAAAATCTTTATAAAAATCATCAGTTTGGATAGCTCCCAAAGGGTACCCCCCATGAGCCCATGTCCCCCATTCATAATAACCAGGGTTTACTCCTGATTAATCAACCACCTTTCTGACCCATGAGATTTTAACAAATCCAATGGAATTCTATTAAGATCTAATTGACGTAAGCCATATCCAAAGTTTTATGGTTCAGAGTTGCTTCTTATTAAGGGGTGTTCAAGAAAATGACCTACAAGGTAGAGTTCCGACCTTGTGGGGGGGGTTTATTAATCCTGACTTGGCATTATCTGATTATCAGCCGTTTGTGTGATTTGTCAACCCAAGGTGCATTACGCAGTTTGCATAACTTGGGTTGCTCATCTTTGCTCATCCTCACCCATCCTGCCTGATTTTGTGCTGCAGACCGATCCTCCTCAAGAAGCAGTGATGATCAATGCAACTGAGCTGCAAAGGAAACCGAGGTCCTGAACTCATTTGAACTCCTCATGCGGCATTATGCGAGCAAAGTGACATAGTGATGGTATGTGATGGTGACATATGAGTGACGATGAGTGACGGCTTTCATTTTGTGAAGTGAAGAGTAGTCTTGCGGCCTACCCCGGTTTGCGGAAAACACCAGGTTTAGGTTGCAAAACAAGTTAGGAATACCCCGAGAACTAGGTAGGCATCGCATGCAAAGCATTTAGCTATCAAAAACAAGTGCGGCATTGGAGAACAAGGTCAGGCCCCCAAAAACGCTGCAGGAACTACAGGAATGGGGAACGAGGTAGGAACACCCCGTCGATTACTTGATGTGCCAAATACTTTCAGCGGCTCATATGGTGACAAGAGTCACAAGATACTGTACCATATTGCAATACTGCATCCACTAAGAATGTCTCTGTACGGCCCTGTTCATCCTTTTCTATTGTCGAGACATTGAGATGCTGCGTGAATTTTCACCATCGAATTGAGTGAGTGTGATCGGTGGGATGGTGGGTCAGCCCAACTCTCTGTTTTGAAATTTGAAGAGTTTGAAGTGGCTGGCATTGGCTGGCAAAAGCTTGCGTTGAATGATCGCCATTCTGAGGCCTTTCAAGCAATGGTTGTGGAGAATAAGACCTCAGGCCGTCAAGCCATGCATAAATTTTATGAGCGATGCCATGCGATGCCATGCGATGCCAAAGCCAATGTGACCTCGTTCGAGAGGCCAAAGAGGTATCAAAGAGTTTTTCATCATGAGCATGTTTGACCAATTGATGCCAATTGAGACCGCTTGAAGTTTGTTTGTCTTGAGATGTGTTGATTCTTGACCTGGGGAGACTTGCACACTTTGCAAAGCAGCTGAGCAACATGCAAAGCCAGATTTATATATGTCTTTTTTTTTTGGATAGGCCCTTGGGAACCATTGGGTGCAAACACTTGCGCCAACCTTGGCACCAGCACCACTCATAAGTTTTCCATTCGTCCCAGTGCTTGGAAAGCTCAGAGCTTAGGGCATCTTAGGGCCTTAGGGCCTTCAATCTAGTGTTCCTCGGCAGGCTTGCTTCGCTTAGTGAAGACACCTGGGCTCTTCTTCCCTTCGGCCTATGAGGTTTTCTTGGAACATTGAGTGATCGTTAGGTCAAGTGCAAGATCTTGTGGCACCTGGAAATGCCAAGATCACTTCAAGCCATCTCAAAGCTTAGTGATTGAACAGGTTTCTGGTAATTTTTGCTTCTTTCGCCAGTCTCCTTTGCTGATGCTGTAATTGGATGTAAATGGAGTATATTGGAGTTATTTGTAGCAACATTCTTCGGATATCTCCCCGTTGACGCCTTTATAATGCAAGCCACCGGCCTGCGGATGCAAATGACATTTTCAAGTCTGGCAGGTTCTGCGAGAATGGAAGCATGCCATCCTGGTTGAAGAGGTGTCGTATGCTGTGGTCAAGGACACGCTGCAGCCTGGTAGCACTATCTGGCTATGTGTTGTTTGCCTGGGTCGACGCGTGCCATGAAAAGAGTTTAACAAGTTCAACACTATCGGTGATGGCCGTGGTTCCTTCGAATTTATTGTAGAAATTTTAATCAGATTGCGCAGAGCCTTTTTAAAATATATTGGAAGAATGCGAGGTCATTGAAAAACCCTAACCTTCTGCCATAACTTCTTGACCACTTGCCAGGAATACATAATGCACATTTATGTACCATGGCCCATGGCCATGCTGTTCCTAGTAGATCACACGCAGGGATTCTACGTGTTTGGAGAACCTCGCCTGTCAACTAACCAAGGACGGGTGTGACAACTGTGAAACCTGGGCCCACCTTGGTGATGCTGGAGGCATACGAGTGCCTTGTTGATATCTGAAATCCAACCTGTGATCGTTTGGATCAACCGACCTGATCAATGATCGGCCAACTTGTCGGATTCAGGTACTCCAGCAACCAGCCTGAATGGAGAGTCCCCGAGTCCCCCTTTATTAAAATACTTGATGAAACATGACATGATGTGTAGGTAATTATCAGTACTGTAAGTCAACAAATTTTGGGCCTTCCAAGTTTGCTTATGCCTTGCAACGACAACGGTACTCCGAGGATACTTGTCAAGATCGGCACCAAGCTGGTGGTGAAGAAGGCGCGGAGAAATGCGGCAACGTTTATCAGAACACACTCCAACTATCTCCAACTTCTAATAAGCAAGAATGCAAGATAAGGAGCCGTGCCAACAGCTGAAAGATGCTAAAAGTGTGACGAATTCAGTGGGCATGGAACAAATGAACAAATCAAACCAAAATAATCAATGTGCAAACTGTGCAAACTGCGTGTTTCCATGAGATTGCCTCGCTTGCTTCATGCTGCATGCCTCGCAAAGCCAGGATGAGTTCCTTCGTTTGGTCGACAGACGCACTGGAGCTGAGGAGGTTGTTGTGGGTCCAGCCGCAGTTTCGCCAGCCCTGGAGGACACCCCGTGCTTCAAGATCCAAGATATTCGAGAGGATCTTAAAACTTCACAAGACAGTGAAAGCAAGAAAGAAAAGATAGTGAAAGCAAGAAAGATTGAACATATTGAAATTGATTCGTGCGAACCAGCTTTAGGATATCTTGGGACTCAGGATATTGCCTGATGACCATTCGCATACAAAGTATTTTACCCGCAAGTAGTTTACAACTGACCCCATGTACATTGTTACATCTAACGCAAGGCCGTGTAATGGCATTATACATAGACGCGACGTAGATACAGCAAAGGCCAGCGCAAGTGCAAAGGTATACTTTATATTTACTATTCTATATCTACATACTGTTTATATGTGTATATATATATATGTGTGTGTATCACGAAGCTAGCTTCTGCTAGCTGAAGTCCCTCTTTCTTTAGCAAGGTATTAGCTCGGACTCCAATCGCATGAAACTTCACAGTTAACTACCCCCGTGCCTGGCTGGTTCACAAGCAGTTTGGCGGTGGATCAATCCCACCCGGGGACACTGTTGGCAACATCGGCAGCATCCGCATCCTCTGCATCATTTGCATCGTCAATAGGGCATGGTTTAATACATTCTGTACATTTCTGTACTATCTTTGCACGGATGAACATCCGTCACAGCATGTCACAGCTTTTCATCATGTGTGTGTTTTCATGCCCAGCTCCCTGCCGAGCTAGCTTTCGTCCCTTACCCCTGGGCCTCAAGCATATTTACATACGGTCGGTACAAATGGAGAGAGTCATAAAGTTTACAAGCAGCACGCAACAATACTTTAGATACAATAAGCACGGACATTCATGATGGATGCATTATGTGCAAAAATAAATAACAAATAATCACACGCACACATAATATAAATTACGTATATTTATATACTATGTAATAGTAATATTGTTATTCTACTTGTTCGTGGGGTTTCCTGGGTATAAGGACAAGGCAACTCCTCGGAGGACCATGCTGGCTATCTACACTGACACAGTCGTTTTGCTTGGCCAGTTCGAACTTACCAGCAACTAGTATCTAGCCCAAAAGAACCATAATTGGGTGACATTATATCATTGTGATTAATCACACCAAATTTGGACATCAGCCTTGTAAGCATTCCCTCTTTCAGGAAGAAGTGCCTGATGGTGTCCAGAGCACGGCTGCTGGACCTGCACGTACGGTTGATGCTGCGTCGAGATGTCGAGATGTCGAGTTCAATGCAGTCTAGCGATGTGTAGATTGACCAGAGGCGAGCAGATGCCAATGCCAGCGCCCAGCGTGCCTTCAGAATAGTGCATGTTTATGATCTGTTTATGCATTTTTGCACTGAGGCCTTGCTGGATCCTTTGACTTCTGCAATTCTCCTGGACAAGGCTACCGGACAGCAGCAGCTGAAGGTGAACACAGGAATTTTGGCGCCGAATGCGCAGCTTGGGCTTTGAAAGTAGGAAATGGAAAGTCTGGGACACCACCGCCACCAACTGCTTCATCCGTTTGCATCAGGTTTTTCAAAAGTCTTGCACAAAGTAGCCACTCGCTTCCTCGATTCAATCATTTTGGCACGTCATTTGTATTGTTTCCGTCTTCAACTGAATCCTGTGGCATTTATGACCATTGAATGCACCAGAGTCAGAACCCATCTGCACAGCGTAGCTTTTGCAAAGAACCTGTAGCAAACGGGAGCGAACAAATCATAAACAAATCCGCGCTTGTTTTATATACATATCCAAATGCGGCACGGGAAGAAAACAGCACACTCGAGGGCGGAAATGTTGGAGTGGCTACATTTAGAGCTTGATTTGTGCCCGCACTGAGGTACCAGAGTATCCTGGAAGTTCGGCCCAAAGTGCGAGTGCTCGATCACCAGGTGTGAACATCGTGGGCGTGAGACTTCCTAGAAATTCATTTGTGTTTCTACAGCTTGGTATTTGGTAGTTTGTGGTTGTGCTTCAATGTGCTTCATTCTTGTATGTCCTTCATGTGAGCTTGTACAGATTTGTACAGTCCTTTCCAGCCATTTGTCCTGTGTCAATGCTGTCGGCAAATGTCGGCGAGGCGGCCGTGACACGCGCTCCGGATGGACAGCTGACCTTGCACACCAGCATCTTGTTGAAACATGTTGAAACAACATTAAACAACATCAAAATACATCAAACATATCAAGCAGATGCCCCCGAAAAAAGATGAAATTGCAGTCATAGCTTGAGTGTGTTCTGACACGTTCTGATCTTGGTCCAAGTGTTTGAATTTATTCTTCTAGGCTGAAACCTGAAAGCCCCCTAAACATTGTGTTGTTTGGGAACCTTGGTTTCTTTACTCTTTTCAAGGGCCTGCCAGGAGGATTGGGCAGGAAAGGCAGTTTAGGACATTGTCAGATAGTGCCGGATTATGCTGAATATTGCTGTTTTTTTTTTCATAATTTTCGTAGTCGACGGAAGTTCTGTTCGTTCCGGCTTTGAGTTTGGCCGGGGAATTGTGTCAAATTATTCCGAGACAAAAAGATCAAAAAGTTGATTGAATCGGACCAGCGAGCAAACATGAATCGTCAAACACGGAACCCCCTACCTGGGCGAGCCAACTGAATTTCTCTTCGGGCGAGGCTCTTTCTTCCTCGCTCCATACCATGAGATCTTTTCACTGGGGTGGTCTGCCTACAACGGCTACGTGACTGAGCCCGCGCCAAAGATAAGTGTGGCTTGGACGTGATTGATGTCTCGACATGATGCGACTTATGTTTCATGGAAATGTTCCTGCACATCACTTGCAAAGCTGACATGTGCCCAAGAGATGTCATTTTTTGCTGCACAGCCCCCACAGCCCCACAGCCCTGATTTGTATTGATTTGTAGCAGACAGTGACAGCATGGAGAGTCACATAGTTGCAACAGCTCTCGTTTGTTGGAAACACGTTTCTGGTTCTTTCGGCCATCCAGGTGAGTGTCATCGATCTTCGTGTCCAGAGGCCTTTCCCTTGTTGTATTTTGAGGGGGCACTACTCTACTGTAGCAGCCACATGGGACAGTTCATCAGTTTGAATATGTTCGAACATTCAGGAGTTGGATGGGGCAGACAAGTGGGATCAAGCAGGTGCAATCTCTCCAACACGACACGCACGAAATCGCCAAGCCTTCCTCCCTCAACGAACAAAAGAACAGCAAGGTGACCTCCTACTGGGTTCCGCCCAGTATTGCATGCTATTGCCGTCCAGGCTGCCATGGCGGTACATGGCGCTCACCAGTGACAATGTTCGAATTCAACTCACAGGCGCGCCGTGGCCATCACTTAGTTGCCCTATAGATCCCTATAGAGTGTCTCATTCGCATCCAAGCCAAATATAGTCGGTACTCCACAGTGGACTGATGAATCGAAAGAGCTTGCTCCATCAAAGCTAGGATGCTGCAGGCCGGGCGATAGGGTGGAATTCATTTCTCATATTTCTCTCAGTAACCTAACCACATTTCTCATCCAATGCAATGCAAGTTGGACAGCAACTTTCTGGATCCCGTCACTAAAGCGCAGAGGTTTTAGAGATACTCTTCAAATCGAACGGGCATGCAGGAGACCAGATGCAGGACCATGCCTTGGACCCATTTGTCCACTGCTTGTTGGATCATTGCTGAAAATGCCAGGGACTACATTTTGGAGCGTGTCTGATGCTCTCAAGATGGCCAGGCCCTCAAAATCTTTTCACATATTTTCAAGTTGAACGTATTTGGCGGATGCTGGTGGATGCTGAGGAGGAGATTGTTTGCAGGCCCAAGATTTTCTTAAATGTAGTAGTTATACAAAGTTATATAATTGTTATATATGTGTAAACTAATTTGATTTATTTTCTGCCGTCTCCTTGTCAAAGGTCACTTCAAGTGAAGATGCCCCTGCAGACGTGGCGCAGCGCTCTAAAGCGAAGCTCTTGAGCCAAGTTGCGCAGGTCAAATATAAAGACTTCATGGCAACATGGCTCGTGTTTGGGACTATACTATAGTCGGTGATGGTACTAGAGAACGAGCAAGACCATTCTGTTGACAAACTTGATGTCCTTAGGTTGTGATCTTCCAAAGTTGCTCTGACCCGTGTAGGGCAAGCACACGAACACGTAAGTGGCGCTTGTCAGAGGGTGTTAGCCGAGATGAGGAGATGCATTGAACTAAAATAGTATCATGAAAAGCAAACTGATTGGTGCTGGTTCGTTGAACATCTTTGAACGAACCCCCAGTCGTGACACTCTCCGCAGCTATGCCCACTTCCGAAGTTTGACATGTCGTTTCCTTCACAAAAGGCATCTATGACGGCCATCATCGACCAGACCTCTCTGCAGCAAGCTGCCGATGTCTTCTACTCGGACCGAGGTGAGACCCCATGGCAGCCATGGGGTTCTGGGGCCATGATGCGAAGAAACTCAGACTCTGCCTCTTCCATTCCTCTTCCATTCTCCCTGAAGATTCTGGCTTCAACCAGCTCCCCCTGCATGTGCACACATTACCAGCTTTGTCTTGTTTAGCTCAGCATAGCTCAGCAGTATCGAAGTCAGAAGTGGTGGGACGCGATGGGGCGCGTAAATCTAGTTTAACAATGTGGAGAGAGAGGGAGGGAATGTGTAATATAAAATAATATAAATAAATATATATATATAATATATATATATTTTTTATATAATAATAAATGTTGATATCATTTAACCCTCAGATATAGATCTTCGAAATGCTGATCGTGACAAAGAGAAGAATGCAGCAATGCAGCACACCTGCACTGAGGTCTGTCAGTCTCCAGAGTCGAGATTGTTGGGTCACTTGCCAGCGAGGATGGCATGATGGCCTCCGGGCCCTCAAAATTTCTCAAAGACGCCTGGGTTCATGAAGGAATTTCCATGGTTCATCTGAGGTATGAAGCTATCGATGATGCTGTTGACCCTTGGCTATGAGGTGCATGTTGACCGCATAGAGCACTCAGTTGTGGGCCAAGCGGCTCAACTGCCGAAGCAAATTTGTAAAGTGTGAAAGTGTCCTACAAGATCTCCGCAAGTGTTGTACTCAATTGGAATACATTGGCATGGTCATTGTATTTTTTCTTCCCTCTGACACCTAAAGATTCTTCAAAGCTATTCTTTTTGTCTTCTTTTTTTCCTGTTTTGTACTCCTCATTTGTGTGCATTTGTTTTTTATTTTTCCGATTTTTTCTTTGATTGTCCCTGCCCTACCAGTGCACATGCTTGTTCCATTTTGCCTTCTTACCATGCATTCTAGCTGTCCATGTTTGTCTGGAGTTCGTTTTGAGTAACGGCACTCAACTTACGAATGCGGCGCCATGTGTTTCGGATATAGAGGAACTATTATAGATACTCTCTCTCTCTATATACGAGTATATATATATCATATATCTATATAGTATCTATATGTATATAGCCTACACTAATTATATTTATACATATATATATGTATATATTCTGTATCGGTATATAATATATATATATATATATCTGTGTGTGTGTTTGTATATATCATTATATATATATTATTGTTTACATTGTTCAAGCTATCCATCAATTTTGCTACAAATCAGTGCGCGTCATCCATTCCCTGGGTTTTCCGTCTAAATAGATTTCAATGCCTGTGGAACCTTGTCTAAACCCAACGCCAAGGCTACAACCTTGAGAAGTACTGTGGTAGAAGTCGCCACCCAGGCCTCTTGATCACGCTGCCGTGTACGCTTCCTTTCTATATTTTCTGTGTATTGAATGGGCAGGTTGCGTTTGGCCATTCTTCTTCGACTTGTTGCTTCGTTTGAATCTTTTGAATCTTTGGCAGAAGCTGCACAATGTTTGGCAAGAGCGTTACTCGGAGGTGAGCCGAATGATACAGGCACAGACGGTGATCGATGCAGCTTGGCAGTCGGACACCTGCACAAGAAAGGACACGTTATATAGATATGTAATGATATGTATATAGGGATGCATATAACTATATTAAATATGATCTATTTGAATAGATCACTATTTATACACATTCGAGTTATATAGTTATATATGCAGAACACACACCCTAGAAAAAGGTACGAGAGGTGAGCTGTTTTTCGGATGTGAGCAGTTTTGCGATGTTGATTACCGATGACCGATGAATAGGGACAGTGAACTACGGTCCTTGCACTAGTCTGGATGGGCTGTCAAGTGGGAAGGGATGCACAGGGCACTTGTGGAGTCATCACCATATTACAGGTAAATTCTGCAAAGATGAACGGGGAGATCAGGCTGGGACTTGGCAGAAACAATGGGTTTAGCCAGGTGATTCTGACGAGCAGAGATCTGAGAAGTGCAGACACCAGACAGCTTTGTGGCTATATGTGCAGTATTGTTGGGCAAAGTTTGCATTCAACCTTCTGCAGGAATGTCCCCAGACACGACAGAAGCACACTCGTACACTCTTGCGCCTGCAAACCTGTCCATCCTTTTGCATGGTGTCAGCACACACACACACAAGCACACAATGCTGCTTGCATTTCCGACATGCATACAGTACGTGTTGTCTAGACCGTCTAGACCCATCCGCCATGCAAACATATACAAGTTACAAGCATATGCAAACGGTTGCATACCTCAAAGATTTCGAAGTTTGATAGAGTCACAAGTCATGCGGCGTGCTGTGGCAGGCTGGCAAAGCTCCAAACTGTGCCCAGCTCAGAAAATGGTCACAGAGCACGTGTCACAGGTCACAAGAACTTGTTTGAGATGTGAGTTGATGGATGGGCGTCTTAAAATGTATGAATTTCACGGAGAATCCTGATAGCCTGATAGGTCCTTTAGATTTGGCACGTAGATATGGGAATCAGCTACTATGAAGTCATCATGATTCTCACCCTGAATGGACAACAAGCTTTCTGCGTCAAGCATTTCCTTGCAACCTGACCCTCAAAGCATCATGGTCGAATTTCAGGAATTCATCCAGTCAAAGTCCGTGAACGATTTGCTCCTGGCTATTAGCGAAGGCGTTAAGGAGGGAACGAGACTGGTGGAAGAGGCAAAAGCATTCCTCGACGGCTTGAACACCTCAATCAATGACGCTTGGCAGAGCACAGCTCTAAACAGCTGATGCTGCATGTCCCTATGATTGGAAAGACAACTATGCTTCCCAATGCTTCACTTCATTTCACTTCACGCACCGTACATAACTGTTCTCATCGTTTGGTCCTGAAGTTTGGTGCACGGGTCAACCACTGCCAATTCAGGAGACGGAGAGCCGTGTGGATCTGCATTTTGGCAGCAGGCAAGCCTAGTCTTAGTAAGAATGTGTGATGAGGCAGCCTAAACAACCAACACTTTACCTGAGCGACACCCAATTACATCCAATTACATCCAATTACTGTATGCCATTTGTATGCCCCAGTCCAAGCATGAAATAGTAGGGAGTGGATGAGGAAGTTATTGGTTGTGGTATAGCAGTATTCATGTTACCAGGATGGGGATCTTGGCAGGCTCTGGTGACACCGGAAAAGCCTTTGCCCATCAGATTGTTTTGGAAGGGTTGCAAACCAGTGAATCCCTTGAAACAAATCCTCGTGAAGGACTGCTTGATATTACATGACAATTTTTCCATATTTTTCCTCGTTCCCAACAATGATTATGTGATCCTATTTTGCAGGCTTGCTACATCAGGATTCAGCGCGTTTCATGTTTGTTTCTTGCCTGAAAGATCTGAAAGAATGGGCCAAGGTACAGGAGATACCATGAGCACGATGCGGTCAATGAACTCACTCGGCTGTTCGCAGGCGCAAAAGTGAAAGACAGTTGTACGAGATGTTCAAACTTGACGGGATCTCTGTATGTGCTACAATATATGATAAAAATGTTTGCTAAGTCAACTCTCAATATTTGATGATATTTGCGCTCCATATATGTAAATCTGATCGGTAACACCTGCCTTGGGGTTTTGACCCTTGTACCAAGCTGGCGCTCAGGTGGCCCCGCTTCCTTCTATCTCCATGCCAATGACGCTCAGCTGAAAGCCAGCCCCAACACTCTGTCCTTGAACATGGCGGACGGATAGAAACTCACGATGGCAGCTGCATGCAGCTGCAATGATCAACTAGATTCATTTTTTGGCCTGACTGTCCTGGCTCTAGTGTTCTCAACCTTGCTTGGCTAGGGTTTTAACTGGCTGCTAATGACTGCTGATGCATTCATTACAGTATCGGCAACACCTTCAGACTAAGTTTCACCAAAACACGATGCAGTGGACCTGAGGAAACAGACCTTGTCTTGGCAAACTTTCGGAGCGAACTTTGAGCAGAGCTTGCGGTAGAAATGCCTGGAGGTACCGCAGATCCCCACCTGGGACCAGAATAGCCCAAAAGCATCCCACCGCATCCCACCGCAGAATCTAAGAGTTTGGGACTGAGTAGCATCATCTCACGTGTGTTGCAGACAGGGAGGCTGTATTTTGTAGGTGGTTGCCTTGGTTACTTGCATGTTCTTGCTATCTAAGGTTTTGCGTTTGAATATTTGCAAATGAATGCACATGATGGATGCCACCTTGCACATGACCTTACATGAGACTTCATGTAGGAACAAATGCAGCCCCGCTCCTTTGGACTGACAAATCCAAGTCAGCAAATCCTTGTGGCAGGTGAGATAGCACTGCGTTCTTGTGAGAGGTGGTCTCATTAATTTACAGAGCGCAGCAGAGTGCACGTAAAGTCCAGAGGCTGGTGATTTCTACATATTTCGTCATATTTCTACTGTCCTTCGCCTGTGGTGTCCAGATTTGAGAGATCACAAGTGAGGAACTAATCAGTTCATTGTGCCATTCACAATGTTGGGAGATGTTGGGAGCCAAAAAGATCCCAAAGAACTGAAGACATATCATGATAGACCTTGGCTGCTTCTAGCAGATGCTGGCAGTGTGTCCGGGTCGTGGAGGTACTTGCAATCGCACCATACATGAACATGAGCAAGCTAGGATGCCAACATGTTCGCACGCACACACACACACGCACACGTATGTAATGTAATGTAATGTAATGCAATGTAGTGTAGTGCAGTGTAATGTTATGTAATGTAATGAATATGAGCGAACATGTAAATGAGTATTTTCAACGTGCACGTAAATGTGCATGCAAATGTAAATGTGCATGCAAATGTAAATGTAATGTAATGTATGGATGTATGTGGATGTATCCAAAGTATGCAATGTGTACGTGTATGCACACGCGTGGTAAACCATTTGTGCATATTGCCGTGCCACTTACTCAGTTGTACGTGTAAACAGACTAGCCAACCAGGGGCTAGCAATGACCAGCAGGTTTTGTGTCTCAGCCTTGGTGCCATATTCATGCAGGAAGCAACAGCATGTTGAGCAGACTATATTTTGCGAGTGGTAGATAAAGACCGACCGGATGTATCCGGATAATATAATGATGGTCTGAATTTAACAAGAACCTCACATCACGTTCATGATTCACCGATACTGCAGCGTTTATCAGAAAAGGGGGTTCTCCTGACAAGACAGGAGCATCCAGTCTACGGTTAGGGTTCTAGCATTTTGGAATCGCTATGGATTTTCAGCGTGGACAGCACAGCAAGTAGCCAGCTTCGCTTTGGTTCAAGTCTATTTTTTCAGGCCTGTTGCTCTAAGACAGCACTGCCTGCGAAAAGTCAGGCGTCAACCCTCAAAGAGGGAGGTGCTTTGAACCCTCTGCTGTGGCATCTGTGGCATGTGATTGCGATCGACAAAAAGCTTTCAGAGCCCTGCCAGACTTTGAGGCTTAATGGGATTCAACGTGAATTTGGGTCTGGCTTTGTAGCGCACTGACTGCAACCACTACATATCCTCCTTAAGCGACCTTCCACCTGCAATCGCCGCGCATATATCACTTAGGTCGCCACGTGTGAGCCCTAAGGCCCTAATTTAATTCTTCAGGAGTTGAGCCCAGCGAGGGCACACTTTATACTGATATTTAAAGACACTTGCTAGTATACTACCGTAATCTACCATATACTACCCCGCTCTGCAGTTCAAACTTGTGAATTTCCTTCCAACACCATTCAACTGCGTTATTTTTTTATTGAATTCCAATGGGACTTGTTACCTGGTGGTGCGCTCTCGTCAGGGATGCCATTCTCTCCTTGGAGTGCTGCATGAGTTTTCCTTACAATCTGCCCGAGGCAATTCAATTATCTATTCTCTCATCAATGGGGATCGTTGATCTATGCAGTAGCTTGCCTAGTGCTTTAGGAATGCTCTATTCTCATGTGATGCGTTCCCTTTCTTGGCCTAGGCCAAAGTTGAAGCGCCGGAATCACTCGCACGCGCCATGCGACAAGGTACTTGGGTTCAGATCATGCAGAATGGATAACTGGCACAGACGGTAGTATGACAATCAACCATGATCAATGAATCAACGAGCAAACAAATAAAATGAACGTGTATATAGCATATACACTTAATGACACACGTACATGTCTATGGAGATTATATAGTGACTGATGGTGGAGGACGTTCAACATCCGTGGTTTTGACTCCTTCGTGACAAGCGGCCCTGGGGCCAAGATTTTGCTTTGAAAAACCGCCTTGGATTAAGCAGTCCCCTCGTGCCCAGAGATGGCCTATGATGGGCCGAGACACGTATCAAAGACAAAATGCATCAAAAAAGAGAAATCCAGCACGCATCAAAAAATAAACATATATAATATACAGGTATCAAAAAAAACATGTCCAGGTGCCACTGAGTGAGACCTCATGCGTTTCGTGCTGCAAACCTAGATCAAAAAAAGATACCCGTATCAAAAACAATATTACAGTAGTAGTAGCAGCAGTAGCAGTAGTAGTCGTAGTAATAGTAATATATAGTCGTAGTCGTAGTCGTAGTTGCAGCCGTAGCCGTAGTCGTAGCCGTAGTCGTAGTAGTAGTAGTAGTAGGAGTAGCAGTAGCAGTAGCAGTAGCAGTAGCAGCAGCAGCAGTAGGAGTAGTACTAGTAGTAGTAGTAGTAGTAGTAGCAGTAGTAGTAGTAGTAGTAGAGTAGTAGTAGTAGTAGTAGTAGTACTTAGTAGTACTTAGTAGTACTTAGTAGTACTTAGTAGTACTTAGTAGTACTTAGTAGTACTTAGTAGTACTTAGTAGTACTTAGTAGTACTTAGTAGTACTTAATAGTACTTAGTAGTACTTAGTAGTACTTAGCAGTACTTAGTAGTACTTAGTAGTACTTAGTAGTACTTAGTAGTAGTAGTAGTAGTCGTCGTCGTCGTCGTAGTAGTAGTAGTAGTCGTAGTAGTAGTAGTCGCAGTAGTAGTCGTAGTAGTCGTAGTAGTAACAGTCGTAGTCGTACTTTCCTTCCCTTCTTGCCCCCCTTGCCTCCTTCCCTCCTTCCCTCCTTTCCTCCTTCCCTCCTTCCTTCCTTCCCTCCTTCCTTCCTTCCCTCCTTCCTTCCTTCCCTCCTTCCGTCCTTCCCTCCTTCCTTCCTTCCTTCCTTTCCTCCTTTCCTCCTTGCCTCCTTCCCTCCTTTCTTCCTTCCTTCCTTTCGTCCTTCCCTCCTTTCCTCCTTCCCTCCTTCCCTCCTTACTTAACTTCCTTGCTTCCTTTCTGCCTTCCTTCCTTCCCTCCTTTCCTCCTGTCTGGTCATTCATTTAATTTTTGATGCATATTTATTTATTTTTGATGTTTTTTTAATGCATATTTTTTTTTTGATGCTTCTCCCTATGATGGCTTGTGCCACAGCGACTAAAGCATCTCAAGACACCTTCTTTTTGTATCTTTTTGTATGCGCTCTGTTTGCAGGTCAAGAAGCCTTGATCAGCGTCCTGAGACCTGGTGCAGGGCCAAGTTAAGGGGCTGGGAGTTCACTGGGTTGACGGGGGCATTTCTTTTCCTTGAGAAAATGTCCGAGCTGTTGAGGAAATTTAGAGAATACGCATGCACTGTCATGATTTGGCACGCAACAACCAGGGTGCTCAGCAATGCACCACCCCACTTCTCCAAAGACGGTTTGCCCCATGATTCGCCACATCGACAGAAAGAAAAAGAAAAAGGGGGCGCGCGAGAGAGAGAGAGAGAGCATTCCCAACAATTACAGTGCCCAATTATAGCTATGTATAGTTGCAGATCATCTATGACAGTCTCCTTCTCTGACCCTTACATTTGTTTGAATCTGATTCCAACTCTGCACATGACCATTCGCTTGTCTCAGTTCTGCAGGTCTGCGGCAGCTGCAGCTGGCCCTTGAGGCGCCCATGTGGCGCATCGAAGCGTCAAATCCTGCAGCTGGCAGCACCCTGCCCTGCACCTTGTGCCTTGGCGCTCCAGCATGTTCCACTTCTCGTCGCGCCCCTTGAAACTCTTCACAGAACAATTTTTGGTCAATTTTAGGCTATTATGTGCATACGGTTCATAATTGTACATGCCTGACTTCTCAGACAGTGCCGGCATTTGACTTAGTGCCACTTGTTGCCGGTGTCTTTTGAGGAATCTCTTGCACCTCTTGTGCATATTGATTCCCATTGATTCAAACAGTTTCTGCAAACGTCAAAGACGCTCAACAAAGGTAAGTTTCAGACTGTAGATGTCCAAACTCACATCAGAAGGTTTTGTGATACTGATACAGCTTGGTTTGATGACTTTGGGGGTCACGATTCCGTGTATTTTGGCCAACGTTTGCGAAGCAAGGCGTTTGACACTACCGCCACTTGGTGATTTAATGTGACTTAGTCTCGGCTTTTGTTGTGGGAGAGTCGGCTTGGGAAATGCTATCCAGATCGACATGGTGTCTATGAATTGATTAAAGTTGATTAAAGTTCCATTTTGATTCATTTCGATTCATTTTGAGTTGTCAACTTCGCACGGGCTGCAGCAACTTCACTGGAGCTGCTGCATGACATTTCGCCATGTTGAAAGTCACACGCAGGCCGCAGGATTTGGATTCATGTGGGGTACTGATTAGTGTAGGGCCCCCCCTCCCCCCTAAACAAATTTAGGGTACACAATAGTGTGGAAATTTCAAGGGACGGGGTTACACAATAGCGAGGAATCAAAAAAAATGATAGATTTCAATTGATTTCAATTTACTTTCAATTTACTTGGAATTGGTTTCAAGTTACTTTCAATTGATTTCAATTTACTTTCAATTTATTTTGAATTGATTTCAATTTACTTTCAATTGATTTCAATTTACTTTCGATTGATTTTCAAGTTACTTTCAATTGATTTCCATTTACTTTGAATTGATTTCAATTTACTTTCAATTGATTTCAATTGATTTCAACTTATATACTTTCAACTGATTTCAATTGGTTTCAATTGATTTCCATTTACTTTCAATTGATTTCAACTGATTCTAATTTATTTTCAATTGATTTCAATTTAATTTATTTCAATTGATTTCAACTTACTTTCAATTGATATCCCACAGTAATCCCATAGAAATTCTCTAGAAATATCATAGAAACATCATGGAAATACCTTGGAAATCCCACAGGAATCCAATAGAAATCCCACAGGAACCCAACAGATACCACAGAAATCCCATAGGAACCCAATGGAAATCCCATGGGAATCCCATAAAAAGACCATCGGCATCCCATAGAAACCCAATAGTATAAAGTCCCAAAGAAATATCATAGAAATACCATGGAAATCCCATAGGAATCCCACAGAAACCCCATAGAAAGATCATAGAAATAACATGGAATAGCATAGAAACCACAAAGAAATCGCATGAGAATTGCAATAATAACCCCATAGAAATATCATAGAAACATAATGGAAATACCTTGGAAACCCCACCGGAACCCAATAGAAATTCCACAGGAACCCAATAGAAACCCCATAGAAATATCACAGAAACATCATAGAAATACCATAGAAACCCGATAGGAATCCAATGGAAATCCCATAAGAATACCATAGAAATCCCATAGCATCCCTTCAGAAATCCCATAGAAATCCTCCAGAAATATCATAGAAACATCATGGAAATCCCATAGGAATTCCATAGAAATCCAATAGTATTACCATAGAAATACCATAAAAGGAAAAAGCTTTAGCAAAGGAAAAGGTAAAGGGAATGTTTGCAAAAAAATCACCTCAGGAAGCAGCTGGACACAATAGTGGACCCCTCAAACAAACATATTATTGTGGATCAGTGTTGCTCATGGACTACCCCCTTGAAAAATTGTTTGAGTGATGTTTTTTTTTTTAAATTGGGGTTTAATAAGGTATCATATATTTTGGGAAATGGGCATTTCTGAGAATTTCAATTGAACAAAAAACTAAGAAAGTAAAAGAAAAAACAGCTTTAGCAAAGGAAAAGGTAAAGGGAATGTTTGAAAAACCAATCACCTCAGGAAGCAGCTGGACACAATAGTGGACCCCTCAAACAAACATATTATTGTGGATCAGTGTTGCTCATGGACTACCCCCTTGAAAAATTGTTTGAGTGATGTTTTTTTTTTTTTATTGGGGTTTAATAAGGTATCATATATTTTGGGAAATTGGGCATTTCTGAGAATTTCAAATGAAAGAAACTAATTAAGACAGTTAGGGAAGTAAAAGAAAAACTTTAGCAAAGGAAAAGGTAAAGGGATTGTTTGAAAAAAAATCATCCCAGGAAGCATCTGGACACAATAGTGGACCCCTCAAATAAACCATACTATTGTGATCAGGGTTGCTCATGGACTACCCCCTTGAAAAATTGTTTGAGTGATGTTTCTTAATTGGGTTCTAATAAGGCATCATATATTTTGGGAAATGGGCATTTCTGAGAATTTCAAATGAAAGAAACTAATCCATTAAGAAAGTAAAAGAAAAACTTTAGCACAGGCAAAGAATAAAAGGAATGTTTCAAAAAAAATAATGGAAAAAATAATATCAGGAAGCCAGCTGGACACAATAGTGAACCGCTCAAACAAACCATACTATTGTGGATCAGGTTGTAATTTTTAAGTGGAAGGAAATTTGGAAATTTCAAATGATCATGTGAAAAAACTAAGAACGTAAAAGAAAAACTTTAAAACATGTTGGAAAAATGGACAATAGTGGACCCCCCACACAACAAACGCACATTATTTAGGATCAATATAATTCTAAAAGAATATTTTTAAAAAATAGAAAACTATATATACATATATATATATATGTAAATAAAAATATTCTTTTAAAAACATATTTTTTTTAAAAAAAATAAAAATGAATTATACTGTATTTTTTAAAAATAAAATTTAACAATTAAACTAATTTTTAAATATTGTATCAAATCAAACAAAAAATAGAAAATAATTTAAAACAATTTGAAGAAAATAAAAAAACTGAAAAACTTACCCCAAAATCCTGTGGACACAATAGTGTACCCCCCCATCATTTCCAAAGGTTTACAATTATTTTGGGGTCTGTGGACACAATAGTGTGCCCCCACACTAATCAGAACTCAACATTATATTATATCTTGATTTCGTTCACGGCACATGTTTCAGTGGGCGGCATCATTTACCATTTGATGGCAGCTGCTCGGAGTGGATTGAGGTGGAAAGGAAAGGGCACGATATGGGTTTGTGACTGGAACCTTTGATACCTTTTGCATACCTTTTGTATTCTTTGGTAAGGTCCGATCTTGTCATTATTGGGCCCTGAGGCTGAAATGTTGGCGTTGTAGGATGTTGTTCCCTCTGGAGGGGCCCATTTGCGATTTCGATCGCCTTGTGCAAGGCTTACTTACCCCAGCAGTCTACCGCACGCCTCAGGCACAGCAGCTTGTGTTTTTGCCACATTACCCGTCTTACAAGACATACCGTGACTTTTGTTTGGGCGGCATGACAGGGCGCCATGGTGAGGGCTTCGGGCTTTAGAATGGTTTTAGAATTTTCTACGCGGAACTGATTTGCACAATGAACATTTGGATAACATTTGGTGGCTCATGCGTTGGTCGTTTGACTCAGCAGGACTTGGCAGCAGCGGATTTGATGTGGAGGCCATGGGAGAGATTGTTGAGACATGTTGAGACATGTTGAGACCATGCTGTTCCAAAGACTTCCAAAGTTGTCATGTCATCATGTGCTAAGCCGCGAAGCCATGGTCAATGATGAATGGATCAGACGCATCCATGGATTGTAAACCATACTCGCAGTCCTTCAATAGGCCAGGCATTTTCTTGTTGTTTTTGCTCCCCTGTTTTGAACAAATGTGAAAATAGGCTGGCATTGCGCAGGAATGTAATTGATTGAAATAGAGCCACATTCCGTGTGATTCCAATGTACTGTATGTACATATATATATATAGCCCACTGATTTGGACTTGCACCACCGTTGCCACATACATTAGGTTCTGTATGGTTGATTTGCTTTTGAATCTAGAACCGACATGCTGTACACATGTAGTAATGTAGTATGTGTAAGCATACTGGGGAACCACAGCCAGGTTTTGAATATGTCATGCTGTTCGTTGCTTTGCAGATATTAGAGTAAAAAGTTTTACGAAGGTCGGTTCAGTTTGTGGGTCTAAACTGACAGCTGCTGCGGCATGGAACGGATGTGACTGAAGATGAAAGGTTTGTGGCATACTTCAGGAGTCCAACAGTAATTAGACGAGATGGACCGTGCTCTGATTTTTTTCAAGATTCTTCTGGGTCACCAAAATTGTGATCATGCTTTGCAGAATCAGAGGGTATCAGGTGATTCCAGTGGCTTTAGCCAAAGCAAAACCGAGATTCCTGCCCCGTCTTCCCGCTTGCAGGTCACAGCTCCAGGAGCACTGGGGCGAGAGGCCATGAAGGTCACGGGCTTTAGGGTTGTACAGACTGTCGTCTATGATTACGATGCATCAACTGGCTGGTGATTCTGCTTACTTATACTTATTTTTTTTTGCTTGTCTTGTGATGTATTATGGCTATATATGATGATCTATGTCTATGATGTATATTGTTGAATCATTAGGTATTGGGATGAGGTCGTGTGATGAACTCAGAAGATGAACATGAAATGCCTCTGCTCCGCTGGTCTCCTCATGCACCTCAATCACCTGCCACTCGAAAAACAACGTTATACATCGTTATACCACGTTGCCTTTCAAGAGCATGGGCTGAGTTCGTGGTCGATCCAACAGAGAGGACATTGATCGTGCATGCAGTCTGCATGCAGGCTGTGTCTCGAGCGGCGTATTGCCGACTCTCTGAGCTCATTTCCAGTGGTGGGACGGCTTCTGGGGGGCGAATGTAAGCTTGTGCATTTAATCAACGCATGTTTATCCCTGCGTTCCAATTTGATTGATAAAATGGGCGATTCGGTCAGCCACAAAATGTGAACAACTTGTCTTTCAGAGTCTTTCAACCCCTCTTCTATCTATATGGTCAGACCAGCGAGAAGGAATCGCTACAAGACTCCAAAACCTTTCAAGCTCACCAGTTTGCAAACCAAAATTGCAAACACACTTTCTTGGAGCAGGCTCATGCCAGCTGATACGCAGCCTTGCTGAATGGGTTCAGAGTCAGACGCTAAGACGAACAAGTGGAGCCTGCAGATACTCCTCTCGATACGAGCAACCGACATATATAATTAGCAAAAGTAGCTTGAGTATTTTGAAGGTGAGCTTGAGGAGAGACGGGAGGGGAAAGGGAGGGAGAAAGGGACGGCCATAGGGGAAAGGGAAGGGAAGAGGAGGAGAAAAGGAACAGAAAAGGAGGGGGGACACGACAGGCAAAGGGACTGGAAAGGGGAAGGGGAGGGAAAAGGCAAAAGGGAAAGGGAATGGAAAGGGGATGGAAAGGGAAAGGGGCGGGAAAGTAGCCGAACGGAAAGGGAATGGAAGGGAAGAGGAAGGGAAAAGGGAAAGGGAAAGGGGAAGGGAAAGGGAAAGGGAAAGGAAAGGGAAAGAAAGAGCAAAGGGAAAGAAAGAGCAAAGGGAACGAAAGAGCAAAGGGAAAGAAAGAGGAAAGGGAAAGGAAAGGGGGAGAAGAGAGGAGGAAAAGGATGAAGAGAAAGGAAGGAGGGACGAGGAAGGATGGAGGATGAACCGGGGGAGAAGGAACGCAACAGAAGGAATTGACACGGAAGCAACACGTAAACAATCGTAAACAAGCTGCAAGATGCTGCAAGTGCAAACCCTTCTATATATTTCCATGTTTTACTTGTTCACTTCTGTCCAAGGGGCCGTGCAGGTCTGTGTTTGAAAACACTTCTATTTTTGATGTATTTGTTGTTTTTTAACATTGGTTGTACTTTTCCATTGCATTTTTTTTTGCATTTTTTTCTGCCTGGGTTACTTTTGTTTTTCACTTTTTTTGGGGGGGCAATTTTATTATGTTTGCATTTTCCAGTCGAAACATGTTGCTGCAATACATAATATTATTGCCTCAGAAGTGCAGCGCATCCACAGGGCCACGCACATCTTGGTAAGTGACACGGCAACATTTTGATTTTCTCTTGGTTTGAGTGCCAAGATCCAAGATTTGCTACGCTCCAGGTACGGAGCTTCATGATCTTGCTGCGTCTTTTTACCAGCCGCCCAGGGGAGCTCCGCCCAAAGGCAAGGGAAAGGAGAGGGAGAGAGAAAGCTTGGCGCGTTCGCTTGGGTAGCCATCACAACCAAATTCAACAGATGAGCCGTTTGGTAGCCGTGCTGTTTGGGACTTCCCTTTCTCTGATTCTTCTCCGATTCTGTTTTATACAACCCTTTCTAAGGTGTTATACGTTGCCATTCTGCCCAGCGTTGCAAGGTTTGGTCCGTGCCTTTGTGCGGTTTCATCGCGTCCAATCCCTGATGAAAAGGCAGGATGGCAATGAAATGTAATGCACGGTATTGAAACACAACAAGACTCCCTGTGAGTTACACAGTGTTGAGAAATGTATAGCACAAAGCCTGGATTACAAAGACGTTGATGCATTTCAAGACAATTCAATGATGGCATATTTGATGTGCGAGCACTTCCTCCACTCAGATGCGCCAATTCTATCCAGGAGCTACATGCGGCTTTGGGCAGAAGACTTGGGAGTTGCAGCAACTTGTCCAAACATTGAAGAGATGCTTCTGGGACCTTGGAGTTTAAAGGATTCGTTTGCAAAGCTAAGAGGTGAACTCCAAAGCTGCAGCTCATCGCAGATTTTGGTTCCCGTCAAAAGACATGCCTTCTCCAAAGTCATAGATATTCATAGATTCATAGGCTTTGCTGTGGCACGGTCGCAGCTTAGTTTCATAGACCGAGAAGAAGACTTTGCGGCGGCTCCAGGGCCCATGGCAGGTTCGAGGGAGAATAGGATACAGTATAAAACATATTTGAAAATGTTCGACCTTTTGCAGAAATATAGTTACATACTTAAGTTTGAACAAGGGCTCAGTGACATTCAATGGCTCCCGCAGAGTTGGAACATGATCTGTAGAGAGAGGCATGATTCAATGTGGTTCATCTGGACCTTCGAGCAGTCTGCTTTCTAGTTCCCCTAAGTTCTGCAGCGTATTCCTGGGGGGGGACCTTGAAATCAATCCGACCGCCTAATGGCGAACTCTCGTATTCCTGTCGTTCAATTTGCAATCTCTCCAGGCCTTATCTTGCAAAACATGCAACAACACTTTAAAAATCACCAATGAAACTGCTGTGACAGAAGGTGATCGCAGAGGCTTTCATTTTTGTTGAACGACTACAGTACTTTGTGGCTTTGTGCCGTGCAAAAAGAGGGCCCCATAGAAGGACAGAATGCACACCTTTCCTGGTCCTTGAGCATTCTGAGGCATTGCTCGCAACCGGCCAGCCGGGGATGCTGCTGGCGATCGGGCTTCTTGGACGTTTGCGGGACAAAGAGCGACGTGAACCACATACAAATATAGAATATTATGGAACCATATATTTGACATGTCGATTGGAATACATGTACAAGGGTTGGCAACAAAGAAGATCCATCGATATCCATTGTTTTTTCTCCACCTGTCAGCTTTGCGGTGCTAGACCTTGCAAATCTTGCATTTGAGTTTGAACAAGACAGTTTTGCTTTATTTTTGTTTGCTCAGTTTTTCCATCCAACCGGCCATGTGCGGCAGATCCAGGCCTGAAGCGCCTTTGAAGGCCTTCTTGGATCGTGCCATGAAGCGCATGCCCTGAGAAGGGTCAGACGCGTTGGAAGGTGTTTGAATTTGACATGCCGTGGGTAAACTGACTCACTTTGCAGTTGATGAGTCAGCCGAGTAAGAAGTGCATTTGATGCATTTTGTACCCTTTTGTCTCTCATCTTGCGAAGATCCACACGAAGTTCTACGCTCAGGTGTTGCCACTGGGGGCCAACGCCTTGCAGGCGCCGCAGCTTCTGTTCTTTTTTGCACACCAAAAGCTTCTTGTTTCAAGCGCAGGATTGTGTCCAGCAGCTCGGTGATGGCTGAAGAGGTGGAACGACCTCTTGCAGGCATGGTATGGACGCTGCTAAAATCTTGTAAAGAGATGGGAGGCCTGTTTCAGCGATGTTTTAATTTTTCGATGTTTTGGCTGATGTGGGCCTTCTTTTCCAAAGGCACACTTTCGGTTCTGCCAGGCCTTCCTTTAACACAGCTTGGCACCTAGATGACATCACTCGACTCGCTGTCAAGTTGTAAAATCATGCAGGCTCTCTCTATCTCTCTCTTCAAGTTTGTTGATCCAGGCCTTTGAACCAACATCCAATATGCACGTTGTTATTTGATGTTATTTGAACTTGTCTAGGATGCCTTAGGATGCCTTCCGATGCCTTAGGTATGTTTTGTTTGCGTATCGACTTTCCATGACTTTCCTGTCCGGTTTATTGTTTGGTTGCTTCCCAAGTTTCTGTAATTAGATTGGTATTAGATTGTAGATCGTGCTACTGAATGCTCCTGATTGCGCGAAGAATGCTACAGGCTTACTTCTAGAATTACGCATGCTCTGCCAATTCCCTGGGTGCATCGAATCTTACACAGCACATTACCGATAGTTTGCTCACTTGTGTTCTTCTTCAACTTGGGGAGGGGGGGGTGCACCACCCCCCCCCAGCTTTGTCACTATAGCCATTCATAGTCACTGTAGCCATTCACAAAGGGGAGGGTGGGTCCACCACCCCCCCCCTCAGCTGCCGACAAACAAGGGGGGGTGGGTCCACCACCCCCCCCCTCAGCTGCCGACAAACAAGGGGGGGGTGGGTCCACCACCCCCCCCTCAGCTGCCGACAAACAGGGCGGAGTGGGTCCACAACCCCCTCCACCCAGCTTCCAACGATCAGGAGGGAAGGCTCCACCACCCCCTACTCCTCATCTCGCAGCAAATCTTTTTTTAGATTTTGGCCCGACTAGAAGTAGAAGCAGTAGTAGTAGTAGTAGTCGTCGTCGTAGTAGTAGTAGTAGCATAACACAAATTTACGCTTTGGAGTTAGTTGTTGATAGTAGTAGTAGTAGTAGTAGTAGTAGTAGTAGTAGTAGTGGTAGTGGTAGTGGTAGTGGTAGTGGTAGTGGTAGTGGTAGTAGTCGTAGTAGTAGTAGTAGTTGTAGTTGTAATAGTAGTAGTAATAATAGTAGTAGTAGTAGTAGTGTTGGTAGTAGTAGTAGTAGTAGTACAAGTAGTTGTAGTGGTAATAGTAGTAGTAATAGCAGTAGCAGTAGCAGTAGCAGCAGCAGAAGCAGCAGGAGTAGTAGTAGTAGTAGTAGTAGCAGCAGCAGGAGTAGTAGTAGTAGTAGTAGAAGTAGTAGTAGTAGTAGTAGTAGCAGGAGGAGTAGTAGTAGTAGTAGTAGTAGTAGTAATAGTAGTAGTCGTCGTCGTCGTCCTCGTCGTCGTCGGCGTCGTCGTAGTAACAGTAGAGTAGTAGAGTAGTAGAATAATAGAGTAATAGAGTAGTAGGGTAGTAGAGTCGTAGAGTAGTAGAGTAGTAGTAGTAGGAGTAGGAGTAGGAGCAGGAGTATCAGTAGTAGTAGCAGTAGTAGCAGTAGTAGTAGTAGTTGTTGTAATAGTAGTAGTAATAATAGTAGTAGTAGTGGTAGTAGTAGTAGTAGTTGTTGTTGTTGTAGTAGTAGTACACAGGAAGAACAGCGTTCTGGCTTTGATCCGTTTCGTTTCGCTTCTTTTCCTTTGTGCCTTGTTCTTGTTGTTCTCGTTGTTGTTCTTCCTTCTTGTTTCTTGTTCTTGTGTCTGGTGTCGTCTGTCTTGTATTGTGCCTTAAACATTGCCCCACATAAATTTCTTAAGGCTGGTGGGGGGCATGGGGGGGAGGGCGCAGCGCCTCCCCCCCAAAGAACACAGGAAGAACAGCGTTCTGGCTTTGATCCGTTTCGTTTCGCTTCTTTTCCTTTGTGCCTTGTTATTGTTGTTCTCGTTGTTGTTCTTCCTTCTTCTTCTTGTTCTTGTGTCTGGTGTCGTCTGTCTTGTATTGTGCCTTAAACATTGCCCCACATAAATTTCTTAAGGCTGGTGGGGGGCATGGGGGGGAGGGCGCAGCGCCTCCCCCCCAAAGAACACAGGAAGAACAGCGTTCTGGCTTTGATCCGTTTCGTTTCGCTTCTTTTCCTTTGTGCCTTGTTATTGTTGTTCTCGTTGTTGTTCTTCCTTCTTCTTCTTGTTCTTGTGTCTGGTGTCGTCTGTCTTGTATTGTGCCTTAAACATTGCCCCACATAAATTTCTTAAGGCTGGTGGGGGGCATGGGGGGGAGGGCGCAGCGCCCCCCCCCCAAAGAACACAGGAAGAACAGCGTTCTGGCTTTGATCCGTTTCGTTTCGCTTCTTTTCCTTTGTGCTTTGTTATTGTTGTTCTCGTTGTTGTTCTTCCTTCTTCTTCTTGTTCTTGTGCCTGGTGTCGTCTGTCTTGTATTGTGCCTTAAACATTATCCCACATAAATTTCCTAAGGCTGGTGGGGGGCATGGGGGGGAGGGCGCAGCGCCTCCCCCCCAAAGAACACAGGAAGAACAGCGTTCTGGCTTTGATCCGTTTCGTTTCGCTTCTTTTCCTTTGTGCCCTGTTCTTGTTGTTCTCGTTGTTGTTCTTCCTTCTTGTTTCTTGTTCTTGTGTCTGGTGTCGTCTGTCTTGTATTGTGCCTTAAACATTGCCCCACATAAATTTCTTAAGGCTGGTGGGGGGCATGGGGGGGAGGGCGCAGCGCCTCCCCCCCAAAGAACACAGGAAGAACAGCGTTCTGGCTTTGATCCGTTTCGTTTCGCTTCTTTTCCTTTGTGCCTTGTTATTGTTGTTCTCGTTGTTGTTCTTCCTTCTTCTTCTTGTTCTTGTGTCTGGTGTCGTCTGTCTTGTATTGTGCCTTAAACATTGCCCCACATAAATTTCTTAAGGCTGGTGGGGGGCATGGGGGGGAGGGCGCAGCGCCTCCCCCCCAAAGAACACAGGAAGAACAGCGTTCTGGCTTTGATCCGTTTCGTTTCGCTTCTTTTCCTTTGTGCCTTGTTATTGTTGTTCTCGTTGTTGTTCTTCCTTCTTCTTTCTTGTTCTTGTGTCTGGTGTCGTCTGTCTTGTATTGTGCCTTAAACATTACCCCACATAAATTTCCTAAGGCTGGTGGGGGGCATGGGGGGGAGGGCGCAGCGCGTCCCCCCCAAAGAACACAGGAAGAACATCGTTCTGGCTTTGATCCGTTTCGTTTCGCTTCTTTTCCTTTGTGCCTTGTTATTGTTGTTCTCGTTGTTGTTCTTCCTTCTTCTTTCTTGTTCTTGTGTCTGGTGTCGTCTGTCTTGTATTGTGCCTTAAACATTGCCCCACATAAATTTCCTAAGGCTGGTGGGGGGCATGGGGGGAGGGCGCAGCGCGTCCCCCCCAAAGAACACAGGAAGAACAGCGTTCTGGCTTTGATCCGTTTCGTTTCGCTTCTTTTCCTTTCTGCCTTGTTATTGTTGTTCTCGTTGTTGTTCTTCCTTCTTGTTTCTTGTTCTTGTGTCTGGTGTCGTCTGTCTTGTATTGTGCCTTGAACATTACCCCACATAAATTTCCTAAGGCTGGTGGGGGGCATGGGGGGGAGGGCGCAGCGCGTCCCCCCAAAGAACACAGGAAGAACAGCGTTCTGGCTTTGATCCGTTTCCTTTCGCTTCTTTTCCTTTGTGCCTTGTTCTTGTTGTTCTCGTTGTTGTTCTTCCTTCTTCTTCTTGTTCTTGTGTCTGGCGTCGTCTGTCTTGTATTGTGCCTTAAACATTACCCCACATAAATTTCCTAAGGCTGGTGGGGCGGCATGGGGGGGAGGGCGCAGCGCCTCCCCCCCAAAGAACACAGGAAGAACAGCGTTCTGGCTTTGATCCGTTTCGTTTCGCTTCTTTTCCTTTGTGCCTTGTTCTTGTTGTTCTCGTTGTTGTTCTTCCTTCTTCTTCTTGTTCTTGTGTCTGGTGTCGTCTGTCTTGTATTGTTTCCTAAGGCTGGTGGGGGGCAAAAACGACGACACCAGAGACAACAACAGAAAGAAGAAGGAAGAACAACGACGAGAATAACAATAACACGGCACAAAGGAAAAGAACAGAAAGGAAACGGATCAAAACCAGAACGCTGTTCTTCCTGTGTTCTTTGGGGGGAGGCGCTGCGCCCTCCCCCCCATGCCCCCCACCAGCCTTAGGAAATTTATGTGGGGTAATGTTTAAGGCACAATACAAGACAGACGACGCCAGACACAAGAACAAGAAGAAGAAGGAAGAACAACAACGAGAACAACAATAACAAGGCACAAAGGAAAAGAAGCGAAACGAAACGGATCAAAAGATCTCTCCCCTTGAAGGGGTGGAGGTGGGGGGGGTGGTGTACCCCCCCCACCTTGGATGGGCACAGCTGGGGGGGGGTGGTGCACCCCCCCCAACCTTGGATGGGCACAGCTGGGGGGGGGTGGTGCATCTCCCATGGTCTGAAGGTAAGCTGGGGGTGGTGGATATTTAGGCTTTGAGGTAGGGGATGGTGCGTTGTGCAGGAAGATGATACTAGCAAGGCTGGAGGGGGGGGGTGGTGCAGCCACTTCTAGCTTGAGCGGGCTTGGAGCAAGGGTTGGGGGGGGGGAGGGGCACCTCCCCCTAGCTTGAATGAAAATGAACGCCAAATGGAGAACTCTCACATTACCTCCATGCCCAGGCCAGGCTTGCAGGAGGTGGCAGATGCTTTTCCACGAGCTGTACGGCAAGGTCTTCTTGCGGGGAAGAAGTTCTTTGACCTTTCTTCCAGCCACAGTCGCAGGGTTGGAATTTACTCGTTACTGCTCTCAATCAAGAATTTACACTCAGTCCCTCAAGTCAGTTGCTTGTCAGATGAGGGAAGCATCGAAAAAGGAGATTGATATTGTTCAGTCTATTTGACACATGAAGCACCCGACCACATTCATTCATACTAGTAGAGGCTTTGTGCTCCTGTTGGGCCAAGATCGGTGGACGTGCCAAGAATCCATGATGAGCTTGGGCCATCTTGGGCCTACGTGTTAA